TTTTTTTTTTTTTTTTTTTTTGCTTGTTGTTGTTATTGTTGTTGAGACAGATTCCCACCCTATGCTCCTGAGCAGAGTGCAATGTCATCATAGCTCGCTGCAACCTCAGACTCAGGCTGTAGGCATCCCACTGCCTCAGCCTCTGGAAGCGGCTGGATTACAGGTGCTCACTGCGGCGTCCAGCTGGGTTTTTCCATTTTTTTTTTAGGAGTCAGGGTCTCCAGTTTCCTTTTTATAAGAATCATTTCTTATTTAATGAGATTTCTAAATAGTTTTCTATTATTTTGCTTTATGCATAGAAAATATTCACCTAATCTCAATTTCAAACTTACAGTGTGGAATTATTCTCATAGATAATGTTTTAAAAGGGAGTCAGAGAATTTCACATATGGCTCTATATGGAAAGATGTGTGTCTAAATGATTTTCTAGGACCTCCTACTTGAAAGAGATCAGGCTTTTTTTCTCTAGTGTGATTCTGAAAGTTTTTAGACATCATTTAAAGTCCTCTGGTATTACATATGTTAGTATTTAAAGGAGAAGAATTACTCTATTCAGAAGGGAAGACAGTGCAATGCACCTAGTTCCTGACAAAACAGAGGAATGATGGTAGAGCCAGGAGAGCATAAATAATAGAACATGCAGAAAATTCTGAAACCTCTATCTAGGAAGTGATCTTGGCTATTTTCTCTGCTCACCATATATTGAACCAGAATAGTGAACAAGTGAAAGAAAACTTCATAAATATTAATATCTCCTTGTCTTTGTGCCTCCTTGGGTAAAACGGAGATATTGCTGAAAGATAAAAGAAAAAAGAAGGGCCCCTTCCTTCATCATTCAAACTTTGGTTGTCTTCACTTTACTAGCCTTTGATGGCAAATAATCATCTAAAGAACTTCAAATATTGGTGTACTATTACAAGCTGCGGTGTCATATAACAGTTTGCAGTTTGATCGTATTTCTGTTCATGGAGAGGAACTTCTTACAGTTTTCTGGAAGAAAAATCTCTTAACAACTCCGCTTTTACATGCGCCATTTTGATTTCTAGCTGGCTATAAACTGCACTTGGAGTTCACCATCTGGGCAGAACCTTAACTTTCTATGTTTTGAAAAACTTAAATGCTTTACAGTTAAATACAGAGCTAATTAAGCTAGAGGCGCTTTCTCATTTCAGGCTGACCCTGGGGTTCATGAGCAGCACCGCCTTCTTATCTATGTGGCTTAGCAACACTTCCACTACTGCCATGGTGATGCCCATCGTGGAGGCTGTGGCACAGCAGATCATCAGTGCTGAGGCAGAGGTCGAGGCCACGCAGATGACTTATTTTACTGGATCTACCAACCATTCACTGGAAATTGATGGTATCATGTGTTGATATGCACATACTGGGGTCTGGTTATTTGGGCAATGAGTGTAAACTCAGGAATTCTGGATTGAATTAACTGTCCATACATGCAGGATGTGAATTTAACCTTTTTTTTTTCTATAGTTTCCAATATGTATGCAAAAAAATAATCAAAATATTTTACCTTAAATTAATTGTTGGATTTATAATTTCTGACAAAAAGAAGAGTAATACCAGGAGGTGCCTGTGGGTCAGTGAGTAGGGCGCCAGCACAATATACTGAGGGTGGTGGGTTCCAACCTGGCCCCGGCCAAACTGCAACAAAAAATAGCCAGGCATTCTGTCGGGCACCTGTAGTCCCAGCTACATAGGAGGCTGAGGCAAGAGAATCACCTAAGCCCAAGAGCTGGAGGTTTTTGTGAGCTGTGATGCCACGGCACTGTACTGAGGGCAACAAAGTGATAACTCTATCTCTAAAAAAAGAGGAAGAATACCTTTTCTGTTCTCCAGCCAGTCTGATAAAACATTCTCTCCTATCTTTATCTGTAAACCTCCAGGTTCCTCTTTCCTGTCCTGAAGTGACTTTCCTGGACAATATTGGAATCTTGAATTTTTGCATTCTATTTGGATAGAGCACCAAATTTCACTTGGGTATTTCTAGCTCTGATGAACTGCTCTCATACAGTGAACAAATATTAGAGGGCTATTTGTATTTAAGAAATACTTCGTTAAGATGAATTTTTTATTTTAACTTTCTAGTATATTTCCATTTTCGCATACATACACATGTTTATGCAAACCAAATGATAACCCTTGTTTAAATTTTTTTTTTAACTTCATGTTTTGCAGAAAGTGTTAATGGACATGAAGTAAATGAGAGCAAAGAGCAAACAAAACAAGTTCCCAGGTAAAGAATATTGACCTTGTGATTAGGATTTTCCAAATTACATTTTAATCAAATTATAAACTGGGCCAATTTATTTTTCAGAGACAGTAATGATACAGGGAAAAGTCCAAGCAAGATGGAGTTAGACAAGGTACATTAAATTTGATTCTTTCTAAATAATCATACAGGAAATTATATTAGAGCTGTAGTTATGGATGTGTGCATTCTAAAACCTGTTTCTTGCTTGCTTGTATATAAATTATTTTGCTTGACTAAGTCAGAGGGTAATGTAATGGTTTGATAAGACTTTATGGACAGACTGAAAGTGACATCTGGATAGGGACTATTTTAGGCTCTGAAAATTTAGCATCATTATTTTCTCATTTTACTAGAATCATAAGGATGACAGCCAATGTGGTTTAAAGAAATATAAGTCTAGTCTCCGAATATTATTACCTTTTCTTATTAAAATCTTGCTGTCCTAATAGCCTGATTTTCATTAGGAACATTATATTTCCTCCAGGCTATGAACTTAGAGCAAGTCCGATTCATACTATTCTAAGTCCAGTTACCTTTAGTGTTTCCATTGGCACTAAAAAATTCAGTGAAGAATGTGTGAGTTGCTTCTGTCAAACATAGGTGGAGGTCTTCTTGTAGCCATTCTAGATTTTAAAGGAGACCTTTCTAAAGTATCCTATAGAATCCTTTGCCCAAAATAAATCAATGTAAAAATACTCTACTAGGTTGCATTGGAAGCAACGTATCTCAGATCTGAAAATCATCACTCCTAGAAACAGTCCTCCAGTGACCATAGCTTAGGAATAAGAGAGTGAGGTGTATGTTTCCTCATCTGGCTATAGTGCATTAATAAGAAGCGCAATGGGAAAAAAATAAAAACCTCTATGTTACCACAGAAAACTTTAAGGATAGAGCAATTTATATATAAAGAGAAAATGAATGCAAAGATAATGTTAAAGCATTAGCTATAGAATACATTAAAGCTTTTCAAAGAGGGGAATTTCCTATATATTTATAAAAACCACATTATCTTTACCAGTAGAAGTAATTCTTTTGAAACATAAAACATCAAGAGTGTGCAGGTATATTATAATGTTAGAAATGTATGAAAACCGCCATGCCTAAACATAAAGAACACACATGCGATCAGTAATTTTCCTGTGGTCTTTTTCAGAAGCATAGGTTTCTAGCATAATGCCCAAATAGTGAGTCAAAGCCTTTCAAATTGATTTCATATCTAGTACTGTCCTAGGCATTATAGGAAGGTCTCTGGATGCAAAAAATCTGCTCCTTACTGTAAGTAGCTCAGAGTTCAATGGAAAAGATGGAGTATTAAAAAAAAATTTTGACTTAAATTCAAGGGCCAAGCCTTCCAGAAGCAGGAGCCATTAATTCAATCTGGGCCTATTGGGAGGAAGGGGCTTGAGTGGAAGGCTTGAGTCTGGGGAGATGAGAGCACGTGCAGGGACGGCAATAAGAATTCCACCAGCAGGGACATGTCTACACTGCGTCACCAGTTTAGACTCTGGCACATTCCACTTGCCTGACGCAGTAGATATTCAAGAGATATAGTACAACAAGTGAAAAAAAGGAAGAGGTGTTTTCATCAGAGAGTACATAGGTCAATGATCTAACTATGTAAAGAGCGCATATTCTTCCTATTTTTTTCCAGAAAGCCTTGCCAGTACTAGTGTTAGAGATAAGCTTTTGTGAAGAGTGAAATGGTTGGATAGGTTTGGCCGGGTTAGAATTAGCTCTTCATGCAATGTGAAGGAGTTTAGAGTGGGTCTTACAAGACTAGGGAGCCTTGAAGCCGGGGGTGGAAGGGCGGCGTGCTAAGTTTTGCTTTGGGGAAGCTTGCTCTGATAACAGTGTGAAGGGCAATAAGGTGTGGACTTGACTGAGATTAGAGGAGAAAAGGTGTAAGTGATATATTCACTGCTCTAAACTACATTCTGATGCCATTGATTGGGATAGAGAACACAGAGGGAAGAATAGTTTTTCAATGGAGAAAAGTAAGGTGATTTGGGTGCATTTTAGACAATACAGATTAATATCTAAGTTTAAGAGAAGAGATGAAGGCCTTCTTGAGTGCTGATCCTATGGTCTTTCTAGGACTCAAGGAATAAAAATTCAACCTTGTGTTTATAAAAAGGGACAACTTTTTGCTGTACAAAAGTGTTCTTTATAAGAGCTTGCATGAAATTGTGAACTGATTTTTAACAAATATAAATGTCTTTTTAAGAATAAACATAGTTTGTTTTGCAGTTATAACAAACTGCACATATTCTTTGCCATCTTTACCCCAGATAATTTAACACTGACTGACTGTATGGAAGAATCTACATCTACCTCATCTCCCTATAACTTGGAAGAAAGGTTTATATTCATAATATTTCAGTCTTACGCTTTCTTCTTGAAGTGAGTGGAGTATTGAATTAAATCCTGTAGGACTTTGAATTTGACCCATAAGGCAAAAAAGGCACAAATATTAGTTAAATTTTATTTGTTTTTTTTTTACTGTATAAGTGTAAGATTCACAGGGTCAGAGATTTTTATCCATTTAATATGTATCTCAGGTATGTAGAACATTGCTGTAGAGGTATTTAGTAAATATTTGCTCAGTGAATAAATTCAGTAATATTTTCCCTAATAATTACAATTAGATTAAAATAACTCATGCTGTAAACTATAACAAGAAAAGAAGCAAGGGAATAAAGGTTTAAAGATAGAACTATGGCTCAGATTAGTTTCCTTTCAGGTAGTAAGATTAAAAATGGCTTGAAACTACAGCTCTAAAATTCTTTTTAAAACAACAACAAAGTTCTCATATAGATGATGATGATAATTGTGCTGCTACAGACACTGCTGGTGATGGTGGTGATGGTGGTGAAGTGATAATAATTATTATATATTAGCATTGAAGAAAATAGATAACTTGGTAGTCCCACAGAGTAGAGTCTCATTTAGGAGTATTCATATCTAAGATCCTTAGTCCTAAGCTGCATACCTAAAATGAAATATTTTCCATGACTTCACTTCCATGAAGTTCTCTTCTCCATAGGCCACGACTCAGACATTCACAGGGCATCCCTCTTGCCCAGAATAAATGCGGCAGGCAGGTATTTAGCCCATAAATCTCATTCTTCCCTTAAAAGTAGCTGAAATATTTTTAGAGAAGAAAAGGAATTGGGAGAAGAAAGAAATACCCAAAAGTATATGAGGATATACTGGCGATTTCAAAAAAATGTATATATATTTTAAGAGACATCATCTATGTATTACCTTTTGAAGTTGAATTAAATTATGGTTGCAAAGCCTAATTTGACATTCACTCGAAAGAAATATTTTCCAAAACTTTGTTAGACCCAGTTTGCTAGCTATGGTTTTCAAATCTTTGTGACCCAACTGACTTTTTGTTCTGCTTAATTCAACAATTAATAAAACAGTTTTCTTAAAATCTCCTTATCTCATGTCTCTTTCTCCTGAGAGTACCACCAATTTTTTTGTTTATATATTGTTAGGTTATGTGGTATTTAGAATCCATTTATAATGTTTATGTATTTCTGGCTAATTAATCTTTTACCATTTTGCAAGGAACCTCCTCATCTATAGTAAACATTTTTTGATTTTACAGTTTATTTTTCTGATGCTAATGTGGTAAAACAAGTTTCTTTAGGCTAGTATTTACCTGGGATTTTGTTCTATCCTTTTGCTGTAAATATCTGTCATTATACTGGAAGTGAATATCTGATGAAAACCCGATTGCTGGTTTTTGTGCTTTTACTAAGGTTGAAAAATTTTGCCTCTACTTCACAAGCTTTATTCATTTAAATTGTTTATGATATTATTTGGAATAATTTATATTGCCAGCTTTCTATGTTTCTCACACATTCTTTCCCTCTCTTTATGCATTATTTTCCTTTTTTTTTTTTTTTTACTTTATCACACACACACACACACACACACACACGGATATTCTATTCTATACTTCATGTCTACTGTTTTGGTTGTCCTGATCATTTTTACCATAGTATTGGGCAGCGAGGGCTGATGAAAAAGAATGCCACCAAATGGTGGTGTAAACAACAGAATTAACTTTCTCACAGTTTAGAGGATTAGAAGTACAAGATCAAGGTGCTGTCAGGGCTGATTTGTGGTGGACACGGCCACTACTCTCTGTGTCCTCACATGGCCTTTCCTCTGTACAATGCAGTAGAAAGAGAGACCCTTATTCTCATTTACTCTTCTTAAAAGGACACCAGTCCTGTCACATAGAGCTCCACTGTCGTTTAACCTTAATTATCTCCATAAAGGTGCAGAACATGGAAGAAAATAAGGCAACAAAATGAGACTCATAAAAGCCCTTGTTTAGAGATGAATAGTCCTACTGAGGGTTATTCCGGCAACATGTGAGTATTAAGGGACTCACATAATTCAGTCCATAATATCATATACATGTAATATATAAAAATCAAAAAATAATCCATTTATTTTCTTCCTCCTGAACAGTGCAAAGAACTTAGGACATTTTATTTTGGACCATCCTTTTCTGTGTGCTACTGTTCTCTAATTTTTTCAGTTCCAATCTATTCTTCTGTAAATCACATCATTTTATTATTTTTGATCAATAATTTGGAGGATTATGTTTATGTTCATTAGTATTTTTGTTCACTGTTGTTTTCTCGCTTCTCAGACCCACCACTGGGGGTCATGCTCCCTCTGCCTTGAACGCGCCCTTTGAATGTCCATCAGAGAGTGCCTGTCGATAAGAAACTCAGCTTTTGTTTCATAGACAGGTCTTTCTAATTCTTGAAATCTAGTTTTAGTGGTTATAACAGCTTGGAGAAACTGCTATTTTTTCTTTGTACATTGGTATGTAGTTCAATGTGTTTTGGGCTTTCTTTTGTCCTGTTGAAGAGGCAGCTAGGAATCAGCTAAATTATTTCTTTGTAAGCAAGCTTTTCTCTTTGGTTGCTTAAAGACGTGTGTGTGTGTGTGTGTGTGTGTGTGTGCCCGCGTGTGCGTGTTTCCTAGGGCTATATTTTACTATGTCTAAGTGTATATTCTCCTGCATTTGTGTATTTTCCGAAAAGTCTTGAGAATTCTCAGTTGCTATTCCTCAATATTCAG